GGTCCCGCCGTGCTGCCCCCCCGGGTCCCGCCGTGCTGCCCCCCCGGGTCCCCCCGCGCCAGGCCCTGCTGCGCCTGTTCTCAGCACGAAACGTGCCTGTGCCTCCCCCCGGCATGCTTAGACGGTCTTCGGGTGCAAAACGTGTAGTTTTGGAAAAAGGAATGCGAATATATAAATATAACTATGTGTCAATATATGAAATATGTCGTAGAGTCACAGAATGAGTCGAGTTGGGAGTGACCTTAAAAATCATCTCGTTCCAACCCCCTGCAGGGGGATGTTCTGGCAGGGACACCTTCCTATACTATATATTATATACTGTATAAAATACAGCATATATAGTATACTATATATAAAAAAAAATCGTGTTAAGAATGTGAATAGATTAAAATCTCTAATACAGAAAATTATTCTATATTTAACTTATTTCTAGTAAATCCTGGTGCTTTGGATTTAGGTCCCTCTGTCTTTAGATCTCAGTTGTCTTTGTAAATGCCACCAGTTTTAATGAGATTCAGACGAACGCTTTGGTGTTTTTATTGAGTTAATTGTGCTGCCCGGGAAGGGGCCAGGCGTGGCAGGGGGAGGCTGCTGGCAGTGCCAGGCTCAGGTTTGTGCGGTGGGGCAGCTCCACCACATCCCAGGACGCTGAACCCAGGAGTCCCTCGGGTACCAAACACAGCATCTCCTTCTGCTATTGCTGCTCCAAGGGCACCTCCTTTGGGACAGCTCAAAAAAGTCTTAAGTCCTAAAAGGGCAACTTTCCTTTGGATTTCATGTCTCTCACCTCAGCTTGGCTGAGCCTGGCAGGCCCTGGAAACTAATCCTGCTCCCTTCCGGAGGAACTCATTGTGGAAAAACTTGGACTTTGTTGAGTGCAGAAATGGGTTAAAAAGGGCATTTTTGCTGTTTTATGCATATACATTTACATATTTGTGTAGGGAAGCTCCGGCCCTGTTCAGAGCACCTGAGCAAAGAGACTGGCACCCTGGCATCCCAAAACAGTGGATTAAACTGTCTCCATTGAGCCCAGCAATAGCCAGTGCTGAAGTGGCACCAGTGAGGGCTGAGCTGGGCAGGTGCCAAGTGCTGTTCCTTGTTTTACTGGGGTAGGAAATCATCCCAGAAACCCTCCCAGAAACAGGTGTTGGGCTCTGGTACAGGACTGTGCTGGACCTCCTTTCCCACCAGGTTTAATCTACAGAGTGCCAAGAATTATGTTGTTTTGCTCTAAAATAAATCTTTCCTTTTATATTTCCTCCCCCTCCCCAGATACCCCCCCATTCTCCCCCCTCAAACAACAAAGCTACAATAAAAAAAGACAAAAGCTGTCTGCTGTAGCTCAGTGTCACTGTTGGGAACCCATTGCATCAAACTGCTGCTTATCTGGCTGAACAAAAAAGCAAAAACATGAAAATTTTTCCCCAGATAATGAAATGGTAACACCTGCTTGTAATAAGATTGGAAACCCCTGTGGCATAAACTTGTATCTAAGGGGTTTTTAATGTTGACTGCACAGCAAGTCCTGCTCTGGTCAGGGGGGCCCTGAGTGGGCTTGGGGGGAGCTGCTGGGGAGCTCGGGGTTCTTGAGGTGTCAAAGTCCAGAGTGCCAGGTCCTGTTCAGTTTCTGTGATTTATGGAGGCAGTAAGGGTGGGCTGCTCCCCTCCCAGTGTGCAGCTCCTCGGGCTCCTCACTCCTTGGGGTGATTCATCCAGTGAATCCCAGAAAGGAAAGTTCTAACATTTCATAGCATAGCTTGTGGTAAATCTAAAATTTCCTGGATTCTGCCAGCCACTGGCAGATTTTCCAGGACTGTGTGTGGTGACATCAAACAGCACAAGGTCACATTTGCCCTTGGGGTAAGGACCTTCCTGCAGCAGTGACACAAGAGCCTGCATGGATGCAGAGACCAGCTCCGGGAAAAGCATCTCCTCATTCTGCAGGGTCTCCCTCCTTCAGGAGGTTCTGGAGGAGCATGTGGGAACTCCAGTCCCTGCTGAGACCATGAACTGGCTGAGGAAAGCCCTTCCAGGTCCTGTCTCAGTCTGCCATTAATAAGAAGAGTCTCATGATTAAGAATTTCCTGGGATTTTTCAAACTGCTTTCTGCCTTCTCCCCCTCTGCTCCACTGATCTGCCATGGAAGAGGCTCTGGCTGTGACTCAGCCTCTGTTTTGCTGGAATCAGCCTGTCTGTGCCAGCAGCACCTCGGGGTGCAGCTCTGCCCCTGTGCCCAGGGCTCTCTGAAGGGAATCCCATCAAGGGGCCTGCTGGCAAAGCAGCAGGATCAGCTGGACCTGTAGTACAGTTGTTGTGGGACCAAAGGTGTTAATTCAGCCTGGCCAAACTGTCCTGAGCAGGTCCCTGCCAGCTCTGTCCCTCCCCTGATGGGGATGGGTAGAGGACAGCACAGGGATGATCCACTGGTCATTTCTGGGGTGATGAGCAGAACTCCCCTGAACTGCCCAGCTGCCAAATCCCCTTCTCCTGTGTTTTGTGTTTCTGTGGAGGTTTAGGATTTTCATATGTCCAGCACAGTGAGCCTGTGAAACGCCTGTCTAATTTAGGTAAAATGAGTCGAAAATCCCATTTCCCAAGTGGGCTGAAGGAAGGCACCTGATTTGTACCTCTGCCTCCTGCTGGGATGACTGCGGAGTATTCTTAGCTGTGCCGAGGAAGGACTGCTCCTGCTGCCTGTCAGCAGCATCCCTCCTGCTGCCAAGTATTTATGGAAAGTTTCAGGGAGCCTGTTGCCATTTTCGAGGGGAGTTGCTGTTGTTCTTGCAGACTGTGACTCTTGAGAGCTGCCAGTCCTGTGACACTGCAGCTCCTGCCCCAGCGAGCTCCTGGCGCATCCTGGGGCTTTGCTGCCGATCCTGTTCCCTATTCTTAGCTCCTGGGGTTATTTGCAGCCGCTGTGACTCAGAAAACTAATTATTGTGTCAAGGTTTCTGAAGAAGAAAAAGTAACTTGATGCATTGTGGTTTCCTTACTTCCACTTTAAATTAAATATTTTTAATACCTTCTGGCTTGTAAAAGGCTGTTGGACTTTCTGGAAGGAGTCTGATAAACATAGTTAATTTAGAAACTCATCTGTCCCCAAGTGAGTGTCCCTGGTGGGCTGTCTCCTTGTGCTGGCAATGACTGGAATGGGGTTGATGTGCTGAGTAAGGGGGTTTGTGGAAGCCTGGGAAGGATGGCAGCTGTCCTGTGGTGGTGGTCCCAGCTCTGGCAGGGGACAGGGGGTCAGTGTGTGGTTTCTGGGGCAGCTCAGCCCCAAGGATGTGGTACATTGGTGGTCCCCTTGTGTCCTGAGGGGGACGCCTGGGACACACCTCCCTCATAGATGTGGGGCACCTGCAGACATAGGAGAGCTAGAAGAAGGGTCCTGAAAGGAAGAGAAGTCATCTCCTAGCCCAAACTGGTTCTGTGGGCACCATCTCTGTGTGGTGACAAGGCACAGATTGACTTCAATCCCCTGTCAGGGACACGGTCCCTCCTGCACTGCAGTTCCCATTGAGGCTGCCAGCCCTCCATGCCCTGGTGTGAACGGGGCAAATGTTTGCTGCAGGGAAAGCAGGGGCTTTCCAAGTACCTGGATAAACACCAGAGCTTGATCTGCTACTGGCTGCCCCAGGCAGAGAAGTGCTTGGGAGCTGCAGGGAGGGAGGTGGCACGTGGCCATCCCACTGTCCGGGCAGGAGCCGGCCAAGGAGCCTCTTGCCTTGTGAAGGGCTGAGCAGATCACCCCGAGCCCTCCACAAGGAGCTGATGGAGGAGCTTGGGGGCTGCCAGGGAGGGTCTGGAGCAGCTCAAGGCCAGGAGCTGCTCCCTTCTAGGGGGAGATTGCAGACACACAGACTGGTTGGGGTTGGAAGGGACCTTACAGAGCATCTCATCCCACACCCCAGCCATGGGCAGGGACACCTTTCACTCTCCCAGGTTGCTCCAAACCCTGCCCAGCCTGTCCTTGGACACTTCCAGGGATCCAGGGGCAGCCACAGCTGCTCTGGGCACCCTGTGCCAGGGCCTCAGCACTCCCACAAGGAAAAACTTCTCCCCAGTATCCCATCTAACCCTGTCCTCTGGCAGTGGAAAGCCACTGCCCCTTGTCCTGTCACTCCATCCTGTGTCCCAAGTCCCTCTCCAACTTTCCTGGAGCCCCTTTAAGCACTGGAAGGGACTCTAAGGTCTCCCTGGAGCCTTCCCCAGCTGAACACCCTCAGCTCTCCCAGCCTGTCCCAGAGCTGAGGGGCTCCAGCCCTTGGAGCATCTCTGTGGCCTCCTCTAGACTCACTCCAGCAGCTCCAAATCCCTCTTCTGTTGGGTCCCCAGAGCTGGAGGCAGCTCTGCAGGTGAGGTCACACCTGAGTGGGCAGAGGGGCAGAATCCCCCCTCACCTCTGCCCACGCTGTGGGATCAGCCCAGCACAGGGTTGGTTTTTGGGCTGCCAGTCCCCATGGCCAGGTCACATCCAATTGTCACCAGCAGTACCCCCTGTCCTTCTCCTCCCCAGGGCAGCTCCCAACCCACCCAGCCCCCAGCCCGTGCTGCTGCTGGGGCTGCCCTGACCCAGCTGCAGGACCTTGCACTTGGCCTGGCTGAACTTCAGGAGGTTCACGTGAGCCCACTCCTCCAGCCTGTCCAGGACCCTCTGGTCCTGAATCGACTGCTCCACACAGCTCAGTGTCATCCACAAACCTGCTGAGAGTTTTGGAGATCAGAGCTTCATCCTGCTGCTTTAACCTGAGTGTTTCAGAGGAGACAGGATAAAGTGAGGGGGAAGATGAATGCTCATTTTGGTCCTTGCCTACATTTTGGCCTCGCTCCTAACTTCACCCTTGCAGGTTTGATCCTGAAGGCTTTGCCAGGATCTTCCTGCAGCTCCCTGGGCACCACCATGGGGCTGATCCTGCCACTGTAGCCCACCCATGGCACCAACTCCCTTGCACCAGGAAGGAGGTCAGGGCCACCCCATGTTCCCTAGTTTGGGGGGGGTGATAGCTGGTGGCTTGAATTCTTTGGATAATGATCCTTTAAAATGATCCATTTCAAGTTTTGCTCTTAGAGGAGCTTTTAATTCTCTCCCACTTCCTCCAGAGCTATGGCAGCCGCCTGTGAGCCCCTGTGCCTTAACTTAAGGAGTTAAATTTGGGAGAGGGGACAATCAAAATTAATAGTGTCTGTTGTGTCTTCAGAAAAGACAAGTTACCTCTGGTTCCTGGGGGAACAGCTTTCTACTGTCCTGTGAAGGCTTTTGTCATGATTGAACAAAGGAAAATGAAAAGGTTTTGACCATGTCATTGGTTATTTGACTTTGAGTTTGCTGGAGGATGAGACTCTTGCAGGGGGCTCCCGAAGCCAAGCCTGCAGAGCATGGGAAGCACTCACTGCAGTGAGACATTCCAGGCTGACTTTGCTTAGGCAACAGGGAAAATCCCTGCCTGGCTCAGCCCCTGGCCTGTGGTGGCTGCTTGGGTGCTTTTCTGGGTGACCTTCCCCTGGCAGCCAGACTGGAGCCACTGTCTTCCCCTGTCCCTGTGTGCCAGACCTTGTCCCCAGCTCTGCTCTTGGGTGACATCCATACCTAGGCAGGGGGAAAGCCTGACAATTGCATGAGGTAAGTCAAGAGCATTGACAGTGTCCTCCTGGTGTGGTGGGCTTGGGGCACAGCACAGGGGACCCTGCTGTCCCCAGCCCCGCTGTGTCATCCTCAGGACCTGCCTGGTGACCCTGATCAGCTTTGGCTCAGCCTGGCAATGCCCCAGCTCAATAAGCACTCACCTTGCACTGAGCCAGGGCCATGGATTGGCCTCCTGTGACCCCTGTGCCTGCCCCACGCCCTCCTGCCTGGGCACCTCGGGAGGAACAAGCAGTGGGACACTGGGACATCACCAGCAGGGACCTGGGAGCGGTGGAGTTTCTGCCACAATTAGATATGTAATAAACTTCTTAAATAAATAAATAACATTCATGTCATATTCAAAGATATTTACTGACTAGGCGAGTGCTCAGGCAGGTGCTGGGTTTCCAGGCTGAGATGGTGTGATGGAACCCCGGTGGGGATGGGTGCACATGGACATCCCGTGGGAGGGAGCACATGAGAGTCCATTCAAAGCCCAGCTGGGCACCAGCCCCTCTGCCTGTTGTTTCCCTAACCTCAATTATTGTGCTTTAATGATCCAGCTAAAGGGGGTGTCTGGCTGATTCCATTGATAGCACTGGAGGGTAGCAGAATGGCCGTGGTGGTTGTGGGGTCAGAGAGACAATTCTGCCTCAATTCCCTCCCTGCTCAGTGCCTCCAGGGGAAGCCAGGGACCCTCTTAGGACACAGAGCAGGCAGTCTTCCCTGACCTCCTGTTCTTCCTGGTGAGAGGCTCCACAGGCCTCAGCTGAGCCATCCCAGAGTGAGTGGGAGGCTGGGCTGCCCCCTGAGTGCTGCAGTCTGCAGCAGGGCATGGCTGTGGCTCAGGGTCTGCCTTGGGCCTCTGGGACAACTGGAGTCACCAGGAGCTTGAGACCTGCTCTAGGGACAAGCAGTGTCACACTGCTGCCCTGGCCATGCCAGGGAGGGAGGGCTGGATGTTGCAGGGCTGCTTAATGCTCCATCACTCCCTTCTGCATCTGGGAGTGTCTGAGATCAGAGCCCCTGAGGTCCAGGGGATCCCAACCACGGAGGAGGCTCCTTTGATTTCTCATTTTCTCCATTGTAGAGCAGATGTTGTTCCTCCCAAGGCACCTGAGAAACTGCAAAAGGCATTGCCATCCCACAGGGATGAATAAAAGTGTGCCTGAGCCCCAGAAGTGCCCAGGCCAGCCCCCTTCCCAGGATGCTGGGGCTGGGGAAGCCACTTCACAGGGTGATGGGACTGATGTAGAACTTGACCTGCTGGAGGACTGGGGTGTGTATGGACACATGGTGCCTCCTGTACCCTTCCCATTCCACACTGCCTAGAGCAGATGGAGTTTCCCCTGGCTGGAGGATCACTTAAGCTCCATGGCCCCTTGGTTGACAGGGCCCTGAGCTGGGGCTTTGCCATGAAATGGGGATTTACCCTTTAAATGCACCCACATCAGTGTGCCAAGCACAGCAGCACCCAGATGTCCCCTCTCACTGCACTGAGCTCTCATGGCATTTTATGGCCTTTTAATACCCTTTTAATGTCTCTGGACCAAAAGGCACACAAGTAACACACAAATAACATTCTGCACCTTTTGGCTGCCATTCTGTGCCTTGCCAGGAGCTTGGCAGTCATTAATGAAATTAATTCCCCACACTGGAGGAAATCTGCTTTCCCAGGGATAAAACAGTGATGAGCTGAGCAGAGGTGAAGCAGAGACTCACAAAGGGCTGGGATGAGAGGCTGGATGTGAACAGCAGTGTGTGCTTCCAGCCCAGAGAGCCAACAGCATCCTGGGCTTGTCCCCACAGTGTGGGCAGCAGATGAGGGTGGGCGGGGAATTCTGCCCCTCTCTGCCCTCTCAGGTGAGACTCCCCCACCTGCAGAGCTGCCTCCAGCCCTGGGGAACCAGGAGAAGAAGAATGTGGAGCTGCTGGAGTGAGTTCAGAGGAGGCCACAGAGATGCTCTGAGGGCTGGAGTCCCTCAGCTCTAGGACAGGGTGAGAGGGCTGCAGGTGTTCAGCTGGAGAAGAGGATCCAGAGAGACCTCAGAGCTCTTTCCAGTGGCTCAAGGGGCTCCAAGAGATCTGGAAAGGGACTTAGGAAAAGGGACTGGAGTGACAGGACAAGGGAATGGCATCCCACTGCCAGAGGACAGGGTTGGATGGGATATTGGGAAGGAATTCCTCCCTGTGAGGGTGGGCAGGCCCTGGCACAGGGTGCCCAGAGAAGCTGTGGCTGCCCCTGGATCCCTGTGAGTGCCCAAGGGCAGGCTGGACAGGCTGGGAGCAGCCTGGGATAGTAGAAGGTGTCCCTGTCATGGCAGGGGGTGGAATGAGATGAGCTTTAAGGTCCTGCTCAATCCAAACCAGTCTGGGATTCTGTGACAACACTGTCCTCACCCTGCCTGCTGTGAGGAGCTTGGCATTGCCTGACGTAGGGACAGTGTCTGCTCTGTCCCTGCCAGCTCCTGGGGATGGGTCTCCTGGGCACCCCACTCATGAGGATGGGGACACAATGTGGGGCTTGATGCAGGTGGAGGCTGCAGGGCACAGCACCCAGCCCTTCACTGCTGCTTTCACATACAGCACCAGCTGGGACAGCCCATGGCACAGAGCAGTGCCAGAGCCACCTTTTTGCTGTCCCCTGGAGCCCATCTGAGCCCCTGGGATGCAGGAGGGCCACACTGCCAGCCTGTTCTAATGTTCCTTTTTCTCTCCCTTTTACAGGCCTTTGCACTGAAGCCAAGTGAAGAACCTCACAATTGCACTGCACACCGCCTAGCTCTGATTTCTCTGGCAGCCAAACATCTGTCACTGAGACCTTGAGGGCTCTTTTTCCCCTCCCTGCCCATCTCTCCTGTGTCTGTGCCTGGAAACTGGTGCCCAGCAGTAGCTCTATCTCCCCATCCATCTTGCTGGACCTCTCCCCACCATGTTTCAGCGTCTCACCAGCCTCTTCTTTAGTGACAGCAACACGCCAGAGGGCCTGGAGGAGCCCAAACCCTTTGTTGAGGAAGAGGAGGAGGAGGATGGCTGGCTCATAATTGATCTTGCAGGTGAGGAAAGCAACAGAACTGGCTTCCCACAGCCTCTGCTGCACCTTGTCTCTCCAGAGCTTGGCAAACCCTTGAGATGTCAGCAAGATGAGCTTACACCACATGGGAGCAGCTCTGCCCTTCATCTTTTTCTCCCCTGGTCCCCATGCTCTGCCCATGGTGCCCAGCCCTGTGGTGACTGCAGCAGCCCCTGACCTGCGCCTCCTTTTTCCCTTTCCTCTCCCAGTGATGGTTCTCAACTTTCTGCTGGTGTAGGAGCAGCATCACCATCTCCAGCTGGGGCTGCTGCTGTCCAGCAGCCTGGCAAGGCAGCAGCCAGGGAGATCACCCAGAGTTTTGGTGTGATCCTGCCCACAGAGGGGCAGGGGGGATTGATGGTGTGGGGGGCCCAGCCCTGGCAGGCTCTGCCACCGGCTGCAGCACTGTGCTGAGCTGTGCCCTGGACAGCACTTTTCCAGGAGGAGCCAAGCTCAGCTGCTCCCTGCATTGCCCCTGCTGAAAGCATTCCTGTTCCCCTGGGAGAGCCCAGGCCTAGGGCAGTGCTGGGGGGGTGGGGTTGTCCCTTTGTGAGGGCAGGTGGCAGTGGAGCCTGCCTGTCCCAGATGGGGATGTGCCACCAGGGATCTGGCCATCTTTGGGTCATTTGAGAGGAGTAAATCTCAGCTCCATGGGGGTTATCTTCCCAAATTATTCCCACTGCCCATGCCAAGCACAAGGCATGTTTGGCACCAGATGCCTGTACCTAGAAAACCCACAGCCCCTTCCCAGAGCCATCCAGAGCCCTGTTTGACACCAGCCAGGTGGATTGAATTTCTCCTGTGCAGATCTTCTCCAGCTCTGTTCAGACCTTGGGAGTTTCTGTTGTAGATTGATGACTCAGCCAATTTCAATGATGTTTTTATGACCTTTTCCTTGCAAATCCAGCAGCAATCAGAGACAAACCCTCCTGCCTGGAGCAGGAGCTCCTGATGGCCATGCTCTGCTTTGGTAGCCCCTGGTTGGTTGTGATGTCCCAGCTTAGGGGACCACAGAGGTATCCTGCAGGTTTAGGAGGGTTTTGTCCTCTCTCTTGCAGGCAGCAGGTCTCTGAGCAGATGTTCCCTGCCTGTTCACCATGCTTGTTTTTGTGATTCATGTTGTTAGTTAGGGGTTTTTTCCCCATATGCACTGACCTGGAGAGGGGACCAGAGCAGGGACAAGACTGGGATGGGGGACAGGGACAGCCCCATGCCTGGTGGGAGCTGTGGAGAGCTGCTGGAGGTGATGGGTGCTGTGGCTATGGGCAGCTGTGGAGGCTTCTCTGTCCTCTGGGTGTTCAGGTGGGGTCCTGGCAGTGCCGTGGCAGGGGGTGTTGCAAGGCGGTCCCTGGAGCATCAGCCACGTGTCAGGGCCAGCTGGCAGCAGCTGCAGCGAGCCTAAAGCATGCCAGAAGGAGCCAGGAGCTTCCCCAGCTACAGAAACGATACACTGAGGCCTGATCTGCAGATGGCTCACAGGGGACCAGGGCTTGACTCTGGCACAAAACACTCCCATGTTTTTCCAGTGAAGTCCTTCGGCTCTCGGTGCAGTGCTGGCTTCCAGCAGTCTGCTTGTGAATGCCACCCCACTGCTAATTCAGCTGCAGTCTGTTCCCACAGCAGTCCCTGAACAGTGGGGGACCAGATTCTTTCAGCCCTATTTCTGGGGCTCGAGTTATACCAAACACTCCAAAAACCAAACCCGGAGACTCAGCCCCATCCTTCCCCTTGGAGCTGTGGTGGTCAGCAGCAGCTCCCAGCCTGGCTCCCTCCCAGCAGCAGAGAGGCAGCCTAGGGAGCCTCTGGATTCAGCCTCTGGATTCAGCCTCTGGCAGCCTGGCCATTGCCCCCTGTGTCACAAAATGCAGCCGAATTACTCAGACCTTCCTGGAATGTTTCTGATGCTGCTCTTGCCCCCTTGCTTAGCCTGGCCTTGCTCAGCACCCAGGGAGAGAGCAAAGAGCATTTCCCAGGATGTGGCTGCATCACTGAGGTACTTGAGCATCCCAAAATACTGCTTTGTGACATTAAAACCCACCTGGCAAAGGATGGGCACAGGGCAGTCCCTTGCTCTCTGTGCCCACAGACCACTGTAGTGGGAGTGCTGCTCCAGCTGGGCTGGGTGGCTGTCCCCAGGCTGACAAACAATCTCCTGGCATGTCAACAACTATTAATAGACTGATATCCTCTGACCTGGAGAAAGACATTTTTGTGTTTGCAAGGCCAACTGTGGCCTGTCCTGAGCCCTGGGCTGGGGCATCAGCTGCAGGAGGAGCTGGGGAAGCACTGAGCCAGGAATACCCAGCCCTATCCTCTGTGTTTCTCCACGAAAGAACAGATTCATCTGTGCTTCCTCCTGCTCCCTCACCTGGCTGCAGAGTCCATGGAGATACTGCACTGCCTCCCCCCTCACCAGTTCCCTCAAATCCCCCTGTTGAGTCTGGGAATGAGTGTGAGCACCCCCACTTTTGGTGCATGCTCCCTTCCCACTACAGCACCAGTAATTTCAAGCACAGGCAGCCTAGAAGAGCACCAGCCCAAGTGCTGTTGCCAGGTAGAGATGAGGAAGGGAAGGCATGGGAGGCTGGGGAGGTATCAGCTTCTGGATCAGCCACTCAAAATTTGGCCTCTAACAGGCTGGAGTTGAAGGCACGGTGAAAACCTTTGCTGAAGAATTTATTCCCATGATTTCTTCCAGAGAAAAGGTGTGGACTGTTTTTCTGCTCTGCGTGTGCTTGGTTTCCATGTTTGCTGGGTGGTGTTTGTGAGCACAGGCGTTCCCCGGCCCGGCTCAGGTGCCACCAGAACGGGGAAAGCAGCGGTTTTCACTACCTCAACTTCTCTCCTTTTGAGGAAGGAAAAAGCCCCATTGCTGCAGTGAACCGTGCTGCTCTCCCAGCTCTGTGGTCGGGCTTTTCCAAGCAGACGCGTTTCCCTGCCCGGCGGGGCCCGGTGGAGCGGCGCGGTGGCGGTGGGTGTCTCTCGCACTAACGATGCCCCTTTCTCTCCCCCTCTCCCCCTCCCTCCCCACTGTCCATGGTATGTGTGTGTGTCCCCGCTGTGCCCCGCATGGCTCTGCACCCCGCCCCAGGCAGCCGTGCCCGCCCCGGGCCCGCCCGCCGCTCCCCCGCTGGCGGCTCCGGGCGCTCGGCGCGGCCCCGCCCGACGCCCCCCGGGCCGCCACCGCCAGCGGCCGCTTCCCCGGCTCCGGCCGGTCCCTGCTTGATGGACGAGAGTTGGTTTGTCACCCCTCCCCCCTGTTTTACTGCAGAGGAGCCCGGCCCCGACGGCGTGGGGAGCAGCCCCATGGAGGACCTGCTCATCGAGCACCCCAGCATGTCCGTGTACGTCACCAGCACCCTCGAGGTGGATGCGGAGGGCCCCGAGGACCACGCTGCGGAGTGAGTGCGCTTTGGAGGTGTTTGGGGGTCCAGCAGCCCCAGCAGCCACTGAGGGACCGGGGCTGGATGGTCAGTCCTGCCATCCCAAATCCCCACCTACACCCGGGAATGTTTAAACTCACGGACATAGTGAGGCAGTGTCTCCACGCCCACCTCAGGGAACACCCTGCGTAGCTGGCAGGGTGCCCCAGCTGGCACTATGCATGGCTGGCAGCCTTTGTGTCCCAAAATCCCCTGCCAAAGGGTCTCGTTGGATGGCCACGGCTGCGGGACATGAGCTTGGCATTGGGCTGTGGTGGGAGAGGGCTGTGTTCATCTCCCCTGCCCTTAGCAGGGCCTCCGTGCACAGCCACTCCTGCCCATACCAGTGTCACCTGTCACCCTGCCACCTGTCCAGGGGGGGTAACAAAAAATCTCGGGGGGTTTGCATAGGTATCACCCAAGCAAAGCAAACCCAATGGGACAGGGTGGCCCTTGGGCACCGTGGCCCCCTGAAGACCCCTAGGTCCCCCAGGCAGGAGGACCTGCAGCCCCCCTCAGTCCCCCACCTGGCCCCAGAGTGGCCCAGCACAGGGGTATCCCACAGCTGTGGGGAGTGGGACACCACCAGCTTCTCCTTGCCTCAAACCCCAGCTTAGCAGTGGGGAAATTAAATAGAAATGCCCCAAATGGCCCCTTTTCCCCCCCAGGCCTGTGGGTTGGAGCTCTTCACACCCATTCCTGAGGCCACGTCCTGGAGCTGTGGATGGAGCCCCCCAGGGCTGCTCCCCACTGCCCAGCAGCCCCCAGGGAAAACCTGGAGCATGCCCACGCTCAGCCCCAGCTCTGCTGGACAAGCCCTGGCTGCCACCGTGCCATGGGGTCCCTGCTGTCCCCCCAGTCCCAGCCCTCCAACACCTCCCCTGGAGCCCCTCAGTGCAGCAGGGGAGGAGTAAGAATTTGGGGTGAGCTTTGCTCCAGGCCAGGAGACACTGTTCCTGCTTAGGGGACAGCATTCTTAATTAGAGGACAGCATTCCTCCTTGGGGGATGCTATTCTTGGCTAGAGAACACCATTCCTGGTTAGGTGACACGGGCCCTGGCTAGTGGACACCATTCCTGTCTAGGTGACACCATTCCTTCAGGACTTCTCTCTTTCCAAACACTCCCTGTGGGCCAGAGCTTGATATCCAGAGCTTCAGGAGCTCCTCAGTGCTGGAGGGGTCAGAGAAGGGCTAAAGGGAACCCGAGACTAGCCAAGGCTCCGAAGGAGTCGCAGTGGGATTGAGACAGACCGGGCTCCAGGGATTTAGACACAGTGGAGTTGCCGGTGGGGTCTGGGTTTTTTCGGGTGTCGCAGCTGTTCCTGGCTGGAGCAGCGCTGCCCTGGGTGTGCAGGAGAGCCGTGCAGGGCGGCTCGGTGGCCGGGGTTCCCCGGCTGCGGTGCCGGGCGCTGACGGCGCTGTCTCCGCAGGGCCGGCCCGGAGCCGCGGCCGGAGCTGGTGGCCCGGGGCCGGGCGCTGCCGGCCAAGGCGGCGCTGCTGGACAAGGCGGGCCCGGCCCAGCGGGCCCAGCGGGCCAAGCAGCTGGCGGAGCGGCACCGCCTGGCCCAGAAGGCGCTGCAGCGGCAGAACCGGGCCCGGCAGCGCCCGCCCCGCCGCGCCAAGCAGCTCCCGGGAGCCTTCGTCCACCAGCCCTGCCAGCGCCACTGCAACTACTGACCTCGCTCCGCCGCCCTGGGGCTGCCCCGGGCCCGGCCCCGGGAGTGCGGCCCCCGCGGCCACCGGGGACACGGCGGCGGCTTCGCTCCGCACCCCGCGCCCTCATCCTCCCGGAGCCCGGCCCGCGCTCCTCATCCTCCTCCCGCCGCCCTCACCGAGCCCTCGATGCCGTCTGGACCACGACCCCCGGAGCCGCCGGCATGGAGGGTCCCGCCGCCACCCCCGACAGCCTCGACGGCTTCACGTGGGAATTCCCAGTGAAATCAGCTGTTCCTGAAATCCACCCGTTCCCGGTAAAACCCGTTTGTCCTGATAAGCCTGTGACATCAGTGCCTTTCCTCACGTCATGACTCCGTGTACAACCTGGCTGGGATGTCACAGAGACACCGAGCAGGAGTGACAAGAGCAATGAAGCCACAAGATCTGGGATTTTTAGGAAAATCTCATCAATGACACTAAATAATGCTTCCACCCTGCAAAACCAGCAAATACTCCTCCCTTTCCTTGATTTCCTAGCTACATTTTACCATTATAAGATAACCCCCCCACTGCCAGTCCTGAAGGGGCTTGTGGTTAAAAGCGCTGGTGGAATCTCTGTGGCCGGGTCAGCCAGGCGGCTCCTGGTGCCTCACGGTGTTTTTTTTAAAATCAACCTTAAAAAGAATCTCAGGAATCAAAGCACTGTCCCAGCGCCACGCTGGAGCCCTTGGCAGGAAGGATGGCCAGCCTGGGGTGGCATCACCGTGGCTGGTGGTCCCATCTGGGTGAGCCCCTTCCTCCTGGAGCCAGTCACCTGCCCCAGCCACACCTGTATCCCTATGGATACGCCTGTCTGTGTGTGTGGATATGTTTCTCTCTGTATCTTTACACTAAGAAGAGGCTCTGTTAAGCTGAGGAGTGTTGTCTGACTGGTGTCAGTCCCTGGGAGGGGAGAGGAGGCAGGGATCTGCACAGCTTCCCTGAGGTGGCCAAAGCACGTCCATGCTGGTGGTGAAGAGATGCTGAAGAGGAGGCCAGGGGGAAGAGGCTGATATAAGGACAAAGATGGATCTGGGAGCTACTGCAATGGATCAAGATGGGGCAGGCCTGAGTGAGAGGATTGCTGTAACAGGAGCTGTAACAGAAGCATCTTCTTTCTCCAATAAAAATTGCATCCTTTCCCATGAAGGGCCAGATTCCACTGCTAGGCAACACTAATTTTAAATGCAAATCCCTCCTCTCTCCATGATGGACTCCTTCTGCCTTTAGAAGAACATGGTCCAGGCTTTTCACTGGCTCCAGCACCAGCTGAGACAGCTTCAAATCCAGCAGAAATTTGCTGATCTGCTCCCCGTTCACTCCTTTTAAAAACTGGTTTTGCACCTTGTGCCCTGGGAAAATCCTGCTCATGACCAGCTCACAGCCTGGATTTCCACCCTCTGATACCTCCACAACACTCCAGAAAATTCTGATTTCACCAGAGGTTCTTCCACTCATCATGTGGCATCCTTTAATATCAGCCAGGAATCTCGGTTGAAGGAATTGTGGTGAGCCCGAACTGAGACAGCTGGTAGTTATTGATTCTTTTAATAAGATAAAGCCAAAATGAACTTTCTTAGTAGCAACGGCCCCTAGCTCCGGGCCAGGGAGCCTGGACTGCAGTAGCTGGATGCTGCTGCTCACCTGCAGCATTTCCCCTTCACTGCACTACCTGAGCATTCCCAAAAGCACAGAGCTGGGGAACTCGGTGCCCTCGGCATTGTCCCACCCTCCTTGGGCCTCACCACGACCTCTGTCCCTCGCCAGGCCTGAGACCACACTGAGATCACCCTGTTCTGTCCCTCATGTCTTCTTGGTGGAGAGACTGACATCTCCCGACTCCAAGGGAGCGTTTACATCTTTGACTTCCTGGGCTTCACACTCAATGCCTTTTTTCCCCTGCAGTGATGCCTGGGATGGGCCAGGAGCATTGCAGGGACACTGGCACAGGTGCTGTGACAGCGGGCAGGGGCTGAGCCCGAGCTCCCGGGTGTCTGATGAGGTGCTGCTTTCCCATCCCGCTCTCCCCGTGCTGCTGGATGAGCTGCTGTGGCCACTGGGCAGCAGCATTGGAGGAGGCATTTTCTCTCCAGCCCCAACACACATCAAGAAGCCAAGCACTGTCCAACCCTCAGCTTGGTCTCCATTACAGATTCTCCTCCTGTGCATCTGAGTTGCTGCCAGTTCCTCCAGAGCACTCCAGAAATCAGAGGTTGGCTGTGACCCCTTGTCTGTCCCCTTGGCAGCTCCCAGGGGAACACGCTGGGGGGAGCAGTGGTCCTGAGGCAGATCCTGCCATGTCTCACCTGCCAGGTTCTCCTGTGCCTGCCCGACTGCTGGAAATGTACCCCAGGAGAAATCCCCTATGGAAATCCTCCCGTGCACCCTTCTCTGCTGTGAGCCAGAAGCCCTTGGCTGTGTTCCTGGGGGATTTGTCTCAGCCTGGCACTGCCACCAGCACTCAGCCCCCATTACTCAGCCCCCAGTGCCCATTTCAAACAGGTGATCTTCTTCTTCTTCCATCCTGGTTTTCAGAAGCAAATTCAGGCTCTTTCCGTGCCAGCCTGAGATGTCTTTCATTGCTCCATGTCCAGCCAGCACAGGAGATCAAGCAGAACTATTATCACACTTTATATTCAGAGTATGTTTATAAAGGATTAATAAATTATTAATAATGTTTTCATGAAGAGGTTGATCCAGACCCTAAGCCTCTGGTGGGTCAGCAGAGTGCACAAACCACAGCAAATGAACTCCTGCAAGTCCCCTCTGTTGTTTGCACTCTTGCTATCTATTAACACCTAACACTCACCTGCCAACCCTTGCGAGGCTACTGTCACCCCCAGTGTGACCCATCTCCCTGTGCTCTGCTCAACCTGTGCTTTGCAGAGGACCTGCAGTGTTCTGCTCCTGCCCAGCAGCAAGCACAAGGCCTGGCCTGGTCCCAGGCCTCCTGCCCAGTGCTGCCAGAGCAAGAAAACTCCTTTTCACTGAGGTTTTTTGTCTCCTTGAATCTTAAAACAAATGAAAGGTGCTTAAAAACTGAGAACTTCCTGTGTGTGCACCCATTTGCGTGTTTAGATATTTCACAGCCCAGTGTGGGTGTTCAGTAGCTTGTTTTGGGGTTGGATTTTTTAGGGGTTTGTTGTTTTGGGGTTTTTTTTGCACCCATCATTTGTGATGTGCTGTGAGGTGTTTCTGATTGGAAGGTTCTGGTTTGCAGGGAGCTCTTGGGCTGCTCCTGCTGGGACAGGTGGGGTGTATTTTGCTTTCTTTTCTGTGCTTGTGTAGGGGGAAACTACAGCATGGGCTCAGGGACAAACCAATCTGCTGGGGACTTAAAAAATGTCCTTTTCCCAGGCTTCTGTGTTACAATGTGGGGTTTGGTTCTAGGATGCTGCAGGGATGTGGCACGTGGTGGTGACAGGAGCTGCAGGGTGCTCTGACACTCCTGTGTGGAAAAGAAATTGTGGCCATTTGTGGTGGGATCATTCCTGGGCTGCAGTCCCTCTTCATTCGTTCATGCCCTGAAAATTCACCTTCACAGCTGAATGGGGCTGGTCCCTTTTTAGACTGGCTTGTGAACAACCAGGTACGGATTTTCAGCACTGAGCATCCTAGGCTTTGAGAAGTGCAGCAGAGCTGTGTGTAATGGCCTGACCCACCACACCACACCACTGAGGTCAGGAGACAACCAGGATGGGGGAAAGCCATCGAAATGATCACCTGGAGAAATGGTGATGCAGGCAACTGAAGGAAATTTATGTATTTCTTGCAATGAAAGCATAAAAAAGGGAAGAATTCCCAGTGGAGAGACCTGGGTAAATCCCTATTCAGTAAATGCCAGCTTTGCTGGGCAGTGTCAGTGCTGGGCTCAGACACCTGAGCTGTCTCCAGCCCTGTACTGGACTTGCAGGCTCAGGGACAGCAGGGCACTGGGGCAGGCTGGGGCAGTGCATGTAAGATCCCTTATGGAGGGAAGAATCTTCCCACCACTGAAGCCCCCATGGTGCGGGGGTGTCTTCTCCAAGTAAGATTTCATCTGATTGCCTGGTTCTGCTCTGGCTGCCCTGCCCCAGTGTGAGGAATGAACCCACAAAGTGTGGCAGGACCAGGAGGGACAGCCCTGCTGGAGAAGTGCCACCTCTTGGGATGCACCAGAGCCCCCCAGTGCCCCCAGGCCCCCAAGGCTGGGCTTGCTGCACTGGGCAAGGCCAGGCTGTGGCCACAGCACACTCAGGACCCTCACTGGCAGCCACAACAAAGTTCTCACACTGAATTCTGGCTCTTGTTTGGCACTGAGGCTGGAGGGATGCCAAGAGAGAGGGGCAAAAGTCCTCCTCACCTGTTGCTCTGAAACTTGCGCTCACAAATGTTCTTTCTAAGAAACCCTGCTGCAAAAGCTTGGTCTGAAAGGAAAATTATTCTTTCCATGGGAGTCCACGTTTCCTTCTCATTGTGGATAACATAAATGCATGGCTCATTCCAAAGATCACTATTGTGAGAATCTTCTCTCTTTAGGCATGTTTCTAATCAATAATTTTACATTTACATCATACTAGTACTTCTTCCTCTTCTATTCAGCCCTACTGGGGAGCAAAATACCCACTTAGATGTCTTATCACACCAGTAAGAAAAAAAAAAAAAAGGATGAAAAAATACTCCAGTGAGGTCTAGGCTTGAGTCCCACAGCCTTGCAGTTGCCCCTCTGGATCAGTATCAATTCCATTGCCCTGCATAAAGTGGAAATTAAACTTTGTGTGAATTTATTGAAAAACAAGTGAGTCCCCAAAGATCAAACATCACATAATTAGGAAACAGTAAGAAGACAAAGTCACCTCAAGTCAAGAGAAATGGTTCTCAGCATATCTCAGAAGGCAGCACTGAGCCCCACTGCCCTGGCAATGGCTGGTGGCAGTCCTCGAGTCTTCCCTGAGTCTCGGGCTTCAAACCAGAGGCCATCCACGTCCAGCTGGTGGCTTGGG